CTGAGAACCGAGCTATGGATTTAATCCATAACTTGGTTCTCGGCTGCAGTGGCCTTCCAGACTGTGAAATGCAGGCCTGGGGATGCCGCAGAAGAAGTGGGCCAGTGAGGAGAGGCCTGGCTGCAAGGTAAGTGGATGCAGAGTGCATGGGGCAGCTTCATACCCCTACCCGCGTCCTAGCTTGATGTGTGCCTCACCCCAAAACTAGGGCTTATTTTTGGGGTAAGGCTTATATTCGTCCCACTCCCAAAAATCAAGCTAGGGCTTATTTTTGGGAAAGGTCTTACTTTCGGGAAAACACAGTACATTTTCTAAACTACTATGGGACATCTATGTTTTCAAGTTTCTTCATCTAAAGGAACAAATGTTCTCCTGGCTTTCAAATAAATGCATAACAAATTGTTGCAAAATAAAAAACAGCACAAAAAATTAAATTGTTAGGCTTAAACTAGGGGAGTTGTGACAAATGCATAATTTCTCTATTCATTTCTGAAATTCTGGAAATAATAAAATGTGTACAATTTTGCTGCTATTAGATTTTCTAATGTGAACAGTTAAAAGAGATCTCTCTTGAACTGTACTTTCTAAGTAGGTGATTCTGAGTTCTGCTATGTTCTGATTTGGGAAAAATACATTGACTCAGCTAGCAATAAAGACTGCAGTTACATAGTAGTCCATGATGTGTTTTGTTTAGTTGTGTCTTGGCATAATGTGTGAATTTAGCCATTGTGGTTTATAAACCGTGCTTTATGATTTTGTTTTATTTTCAAATTGGGTCATTGTTGTTTAGCAAATTACAATGTAAACAAATTATGGCTTAGCACAATGCATGAAACCAACCAGAGGTATGCATATGATTCTGGCAATGGCCCAGCAGGGAACCAGAACATATTAACATCATGTGACTACTGTATCCAACTGCTAATTCAGAAGGATAATATGCTAGTTTATTGTAGAATATTGTAGAAATAAATGCTCTTTGAGGATTGGAACAATCATGTATGTTTTAATACAGAACAGGTCTTACTATATATATATATGACACAATTCTCTTAAAATATTGACTTTTCAGCATCTGGGGTCAAGTGACAGATTATGCAGTTTTCCAAGCTGCAAGACATGCTCACAAATAAAATGCTTCCTGTTAATCAAACTCCCGCTCTGCATCTTTTATTTTTTCAGGCGGCAGTACAAATAAAGCTACAGCAAAAGTGTTAAAAAGGCTGGCATCCACAGTTGCTCCCTTGCCACAGCAGTCTCAGCTATGTTTTATTATGCATGACAGATTTTCATTTTCAAAATGAGTCTTTTGCATTTATGGTGCAGTTGTGTTTGCTTGATTGTAGGCAGCAAGAAGATTCATTTCACACTGTATGTTGTGCTCACAGACTGTTTAACCACCCATTTGGCTGCATGATTTACTGCACAGTAGCTAAATACACTACTTTACTCTTGCTAAATGGACTCTGAATGAAGCAGGAACTTCAGACAATTTGGTTCACCACAAAGCTGAATGCAGCCCACTGACTGACTATATGGTTAATAATTCATTGCCTTGATTTTTTTAAAATTCCTATCACATAAAAAAAATTCCTGAGATTTATTTAGTACCTTACGAGGCAGTCTTCTAATGATGGTAGACTTCATTTGACTTCTTGCATCACAAGACAAGTAGAGCTGAGATTTGGAAAACCTTTCAATGCAGTTCTGCCTACAGCACAGATTAAAACTTGAGCTGTAAAAATATACATACAAATTACCAAGAGAAAAATAGAAAGTTCTTTGATATAAGGAGACATCAGTGCTACTTATTCTAGTTGGAGCCTAAGAAGAACGGTAGCCCAGTTAAAACAGAAATGTTATCTTGATTTTCCATTTATCATTTTTTTCTTGTGTACTATCAATATTTAAGATTTTTATTCTGTAGTCCTTTTACTATTTTTTAATTTTATTTAGAATGTAGTACTTATACATTTATTTATACATATACATTTAAATAAACAAATTGGGAAAGAGTTAAATGAAAGATTAGTGGACTCAATTGGACAAAATATATTTGATATTTTAAGTCTTCATCTTTCTAAGCAATGGCAACTTTTTAAATATGAGGTGAGATGTAATTGTCACACAGATAATCAATCTGTGAAAGGTACATTTAATTCCTTGTGACATTGTTTCCGTATGTTTATAACAGATGTGCCTATGAGACTTGTGTGAAATATATATATATAAAAAACCCTGAAATCCCTTGCATTGGGGTGAAGTCAGGGCGACTGAATGGAGCTGGAACATTTATTGACTGGATGCTCTTCCTGATGCCTATGTAGAGTTTGCAAGCAGACAAGTAATTATTGAGCCCAAAGAGAGAAATATCTACTGCTATCTAGGATCAAATTCACAGGCTCCTGATTGTGAGGCAAGAACTTAATCTCTAGGCCACCTCACAAGCACGTTGGCCCACTACAACTCATTGGGTTAATAGTTTTTAATAGCATGTAAACGTGCAGTTTTCTCTTGCTAACAAAACACTCAGACAGTCTTAATTCTATGTATACAATCAGGCCATAATAGAAAAGAAAATGCCATCAGACTGTTTGCTTGATATAGAACTTAATGTAGTGAAAGAAGAAAATATTGAATAAAGAAGGCTCCTAATCTTGAGGATGAAAAGTAAAGGTGTTTTTAAATTGGGCTGATATTATAGAACTTTCAAATATCAATCTCAGTATTTTCTTGCTCACATGTTTAAATGCTTTTCTATCAGGTTATTTGATGTTCAGCATCAGATATACAGTCTTTCATCACTGCATTCCTATATTATTCATCTTAATGTGAAACAGATGTTTTTTTTCCGATAAAAAGGCCTAGAAAACAAGGTAGGAAAAGTCAAAAGAAAGGGAGGTGGGAAAGAGGAGAAAATAGCTGCCAAGTAATCATATTGCTACCGTAGTTAGAGGAGATTTCCCAACACCTGAAATCTGCGTGTATCAGATTTTTAAATGCTAAGGTGACCAACTTTTTTACAATGAAGAGGAGGACACAAAAAAAATTGAAGAAAAAATATCGTAAATAAAAGAAACATTTTATTCATTGCAACAATAATGCAGAATACACCATAATATGATAAATGCATAATAGAATCAGAGTGTTCATTGCAGTCCACAGTTGAATCTTATGTAGCTATAACATGCTGATTCCATATACAGATAGTCCTCAAGTTACAATCATTTAATGACTATTAACCCAATGAGTTGTTCGAATTTACAACAGCATTGAAAAAAGCAACTTAGGACCATTTTTCACACATATGACCATTGCAGCGTCTCCTGGTCATGTGATCAAAATTCAGATGCTTGGCAACTGACTCATATTTATGACAGCTGCAGTGTCTAGAGGTCTTGTGATCACCTTTTGTGACCTTCTGACAAGCAAAGTCAATGAAGAAGCCAGATTCACTTAACAGCCATGTTACTAACCTAACAACTGCAGTGATTCACTTAACAACTGTAATAAGGTCGTAAAATGGAGCAAAATTCACATAATAACCATCTTGCTTAGCAACAGAAATTTTTGGTTTGTTATTGTAAGTCAGGGATTACCCGTAATAAAGATTTATGATAATAGATTCTTTCTGAAAAGAGGATTTTTTTAAAAAAAAAATACTGCATCCCAGTTCTAACCGCCTTCCCCAGAGAGTTTTGCTTTGCTCCAGTTTTCTGGCTTTATAAGCATTAAGAAAGAGCAAAGCACTTTTTAAAATCAAAACTGGGAGCAATGCTTGTCTCTCTGATCCCAAAAGCTTTGCTCTGTAACTTTTGTTCCTCAAGATTTTTAGTTTCCTAGTGGTTGTATATTATCTAGGTAAATCTAAATAGCAGCCTGTCTATCTTCAACAGGACTTCCTTCATATTTTCCCTAAGAGATTATGTTGATTTAACCCATCCATCCACCAACTCTCTTTGCTTTTGGATGTATGACATGCTTTCAGGAAAAAGGATGCTTGACGGACACTAGAGACATGCAATCTGCATCCGGCATGCCTCAAAATAATTAAAAAGGTTGATGGGTGGGGATATTTAAGACAAGCAGTTTCAAAGCACCCTTCTAATGTCTGGGTAATGTTTGGAGAATAATCTCCTAGAGAATTTCACCAAATTATAAGCCTTTAGATGCCATATTTGTAAGATAAGAAAATATTTGACTTTACATTATCATTCTACTTTGAACATTCAGCTATTGATAGGTGTTATCAATATATGCCATTTTAATCAATTTGATTAATCTTATGCCATTTTAATCAATTTGATAAAAGAATTTGGTTTTGCAATAATAGAAAGGGTTGTTCTTTGGGGGAGTGAGATATTTTCATTTGGTTTTTTCCTCCTAATTTAATCCATGCAGATTGTAAATTAGAGAAATATATATGTTTTGAAATCTTTCAGTTGCAACAACAACATATTGAAATAGGCAATAGACAGATGACAGAGATAGAGATAAATAGATATAGATATGTGTGAATAATGTATACCCAGCAGTCAAGATTCAAAAAAGCCTATGCATGTAAGCAAATTAAATTCTCATGAATACAAAGTTGGAAATTTCTGATTTTATCTTAGCAACAATATCTTATCAGCCTGCTGAAGTGTTGGTCCAATATTGGACATTTCCAGTTGTTCAGACCATATACACATTGTCTACCATTCTTCCCATTGAGTGTGTGGTACAGATGAACAATTGCTTGCATTTATATATTGAACAGATATATTTTTATTGTTGGAAGATGTATATAGACGATATTATGCTATAAGAGTACTATCAGAGCAAGACCTTGAAGCGGATGTCATAGCTGAATCGGCAGGAGTACCACTAACAAAAGCAGGATTGTCTTATCACATTCTAAAGAAGCAAAGTGTTATTTGTTCAGCATATGACACGTTAGAATATAGATTACATGTAAATTTTTCCCTTCTCTCCCTATCTCTCCTCTTTCCTTCCCACAGGTAGACATAGGCGTTCTCCGCTTTGTATCTGCCATTGGGACTCAAGGAGCAATCTCAAAAGAAACTAAAAAAATGTATTTTCTGAAAATATATCGAGTAGATATTAGTTCCAATGGAGAAGATTGGATATCCATTAAAGATGGAAACAATAAACCTTTGGTAATGTTTTTCATCTGTATGATGTTCTTGACTATTTACAAATTTATAAAATTCTGTATTTAATTACAGTTATCAGTAAAAGGAATCCCTGTAGATTTTACTTCACTGGTCACTGCAAACTATAGGGGGCAGTGTTCAACTCCGTTTCAAAGCCATTGAGCCAGTGCTGTCCAAAGACATTTTCGTGGTCATGTGGCATGGCATCACAGTTCCCACCAAAGTGTTATTTATTTACTCGCATTTGGGTGCTTTCAAACTGCTGGGTGGTCAAAAGCTGGGACGAGGACAGGGTGTCACCCCTTCACAAGGCATTCAGGTCTTGAACCTAGTCTGCCTGCTGACAAGCCCAGCGTCTTAATCACTGAGCCACCATGCCACCCTTGAATCACCATGCTGCCCACAGTTATCAGTGCTTTAAACAAAATGCTAGGTACTTGGAGGATCAATTATACTTACCCTATTCGTCATTTTACTAGTCAGTTAAAAACAGTGAGAAAATAAAATAGCCTCAACAGACAAATTCTAACACACTGAAATAATCCTTATAGTCTTTCTCCAATCATTTATGTTTTTTTTTCTTGTTATATCACTCCTTAATAATTTATAGGTGTAAAAATGACATTCTATAATAAAATGCTTCATTGCTGCAGCATGGAAAACAAGAAGATTAAATCATCAAAATGAAACACTTTTAAACCCATTAATTATAATTGTTGATATTTAACTGCTTTCCCAAACTAAACATCCTTCGTCTTGTCTGGATTATGTCTAATTTTTCTTTAGATTTTAGATTTTTTTTCAGATTCCCAGATTTTGTTTCTTACTTCTGTTAGACTGCAGACGGTTAAAAAATCCATGCAATAATATATATCATACCCAATAAAAGTCTGAAGCATAAATAAAAGAGTCATGTATTTCCCAGTTAATTGTGACTCCTTAATACAGCGGTTCTCAACCTATGGGTCGCAACCCCATTTGGGGTCGATCGACCATTTTTCGGGGGTCGCCAAAGAAGGCGATCCGCCATTTTCTCCCCTCAGAGGGTGCCGCCGCGTATGCGCACTGTGCATGGTGGCGCCGCTGCGCATGGTGGCGCCGCCGCGCATGGGGCACCGCCATGCATGGGGGCGCCGCCACGCATGCGGGGCGCGCCACGCATGCGCAGAACTTTGTGTGACGGGGGTCGCCATCACACAAACGTTGAGAACCACTGCCTTAGTATGAAAATATTAAAGAAGTCTACAGAATAGCATCAATTCAAAATCCTTGTTTTCACCAAATTAGTGTCATGTAATTATATTAGAAGTGCCTCAGTTGTGCACTGCTTCTATTTTATCAACAAGTAGCAATCTTTTAAAAATTGGGAAAAAAGAAATGCTGCATTAAAATGGTACATCAGATGGATATCTTTTCCTCAGTTTGATATAGGTTCCATAATATTTAGCAAAAATGGTCAGTCAAAGCTTTGTACATTTCCCCAGATATGTCTTATTTATTTTGGAAATACCTTAAAAGTCTTATACAATCCAACCTTTGTACCTCTGCTGCACTTCCTTTATCATGAATAACAGATAACCACTTGGCTGTTTCATCCTGTTTGTCTGAAAGACAGCCAAACTTTACCACAGGCCTTGGCCTAACTTTCCTGTGCAATTAATATTAATAAGTTAAACAGATGGTTGATACTAAATAGAGTTAATGTTTGCAAGAAATTCCTGCTGATCTTCCATTACTACTTCCTTCCCATTTAAAAAAAACAACAGAAAGAGCAATTTTTAGTAAGACTATTACAAGGGGAAGTGAGACAATAATGTTTTAGTTGCCCCAAAATGGAGACAGAAATATTTCTAGCTGTCCAGTCCCAAGAAAGTAGAAACAATTGAACAATTAAAACCCATTTATAATGGATAAACAGCAGCTAAAATCAATACTACAACTAATTGCATTTTAGCTACTTATATGGACAGGTTTAAATGACATGGTCAACTTCCTTTACTACTATTTTGCTCTAAGAAAATACAAAGCAGGAAAGTTGGGGAAAGATTTAAGAAATTACTGCCTAAAAATGGAAAAATGTCTAACATCAGGAAATTGAGACTTGCATTGTCTAATGAAAAAGGAAATTAGTCACCTTCCTTGAACTTAGTCAATGAAGAATTTGACTTACTTATAGGCGTATTCATGTCTGGGCTGTAAAAGCCAGACAACAGCAAAAGATTTTCTAAATGTGTTTGCTTGCTTGTTTGTTTAAAACATTTATATAGCCATCCATCTTTTAACCAACTCTGGGCAACTCCCAATCAAAAGCTAAACCAAAAATTAAATCATATTAAAATTATAAAACTAAACATTAAAACATTAAAATATATCTTTGCTTCCGTCTGATAATCTTCTGAATTTTTTCAGTCTAAATATGCACCCCTAATTATAATGCACCTTTTTTAACAGAGCAGAATATATGTTATCCGTCTTTGAATGCCTTTCTTGATTGTCTAAAAAATAATATTAAGAAGTAGTGAAACACAGATAAATAGAATACCTAGATTATACTAAATATTGGAAGTATCAAAAGAAAACTATATATTGGAATTATTCATGAGGAAACAAGATATCCAATGGTGGGATTCAGCCGGTTCGCACCACTTCAGCAGAACGCATAGCTAATTTTTGGTTGCCCAGGCCCAGAATAGACTTCCAGAAGCAGCATCCACACAGAGAACCAGTTGTTCACATATTTTAATCCCACCATTGAAGATATCCTGACCTTCAATGAGTCAAAGTTGGTGTCCTTAGCAGTAGAAATCTTAATCCCCCTGTGTTTTATTCTATAATTCAATATTGTTTAATTTTATCTAGGTAAACATTGTCAATTATAAGTTACCATATGGAACTGCAAGAATTCAATATCCTATATTTACTCTGGATTATCCTTTTCTTCAGTGGGAATGTGATCATTTTTGAATTTATAATTATTACAATCATTGTTATCATCAATAAAAATAATTTCTATTTTTGCAATATGACTCAAATATTTATGTGGGTAAACAAACATGGTTCAAATATTTTTCAGGGATATCTTAAATGTTTTCTCTTTCTATAGCTATTCATGGGGAATACCAACCCAACTGACGTTGCTTATAGATCTCTTCCCAAGCCAGTTCTGACACGTTTTGTTCGAATCAAGCCTGTAAACTGGGAAACTGGGATATCACTGAGATTGGAAATTTATGGCTGTAAAATTACCGGTAAGAACTATGAAGAATTTACTTTATTTTTTTTTTACAGAGTGATATTACGTATTTCCAGGCTTACAAGTAATCCCTGGTTGTCTTAAAAAGACAGCAAATTGTTATCGTGATTTTCTATTTTATATGACCAAATCAGTAGTTCTCTATGAGCAGATAGAAGCTGCAAAAACTGAGCAGCCACTAGATGGAGTAAACAGCTACTCAAAAAAGTTAATTTTGTTGCCATCTAGGGTTTTTTTGAATTTGTGCAGATTAGATATGGAAAGTACTTGCAATACATGAAGGTCTGTGAAACCAAATACTAGCTTTGTGAATTAGGAAATGAAACCATGTAAATAATAACCACACACACAAACAATGCAGAGACCACTCCAGCATCTCAATATTTATCCATTAGACAGAAATCAACACTTATCCTATCTTACAAAAGAATATGTAAAAACTAAATATGTAATTTAGTTACAATTTCTTCCCAATTCAAACAGTCCAAGCCTTTGGAGATAATGCATACAGAAGGTTAATAAAAATGATTAAAATATTTGTGCTGGTCTATCAATCATCTAGAGCAGGAGTGTCAAACTCAATTTCACTGAGGGCCACATCAGTATTGCGGTTGTCCTCGGGGGGGGCAGATAGGTGTGGCCAGAGTGGGCACGGCCTAGTGGGTGGGTGTGGCTAGAGTAGGTGTGACCTACTGGGTGGGTGTGGCCAGCTCTACATCATTCGTGTCAAGGGTGCCTGTGGGGGCCTGGGCAGGAGTAGGACAGATCTGAGGATCTCTGGAAGAAGGGGGTGGGACCAGGGCAAGTGCCAAAGCATAGTCCACTGGAAGAGCCTGCTGAAACCCTTCCCCCGGAGCTCATCAAGCGGGATATGTGAAGTAGGCAAGGACCATTTTCTGGCCACTTCCAAGCGATAGTGCATTTCTTCATTCCTCACAAAGGGTGAAACCTCCCCAGCATGCACCCAGGGGGCGGGGCCGACACAGCAGGGGCTGGTTCCTCGCTGTTTCCAGATGGTCTTGTGGAACTAAGACTGAATGCGTTTCAGCATAGATGGCCACCACAAAATTGTACATTGGCTCCCGGCTGGCCAGGGCCAAGGCAGCAGGGGCCGTTCCCTCACTGTTTCCAGGATGGCTTCGCAGGCCACATGAAACCACATCACAGGCCACATCCAGCCCCTGGGCCTTGTGTTGGACATGTCTGATCTAGAGTCCTTCTTCTTGCAAGATCTTCCCATTGGAAAGAAATATGGACAACAAGAAATAAGGAAGATCTTCTTGCATATGGATGGTATTCCCTTATGTCTGAGTGAAGGCAAGGATGTAAGCTTTTTACTTGTCACATCATCTGTTATAATGATATGTGTGTTCACATTGCATTATTCAGATAAAGAGGGTGTTTTAGAAGCAAGGAACAAGCATACAGATTAATTAAAAGAAAAAATTACTAGGAGGTTAATTTTATCTTTCTAACTAAAATAAAATCCATTAATCTAAGCTATTTCATTAATCAGATTAATTGCATATTTTAAAAATGTTGCAAACATATTTCCAGTGTTTCTGTCCTTCCCAAAAAAACAGTATTGATTAGGAAGGAAAATAACAGGAAGAGGTAAATGGATGGATGGAGGAATATGGTACAGATGACATAATCTATTTTTATCAAACAATGTAAACAAAACTTTAACAGTTTAACAAAAAGTTTGCATTGCTGCAAAAAAAACTCAAGAAAGAAAAAAAATCCCACCTCAAATATCTTCATTAATACTAAGAAATTCTAACTTTCAATTTCCTGAAAATATTCTACCAATTAAAGAAATTTCTGATGTGGAAGGGTTTTCCTTTCCTTCCTCCTATCTATTTTTTGGGAGTTTTCATAGTACTTTAGAATTACTCTAGAATTTGTCCTGGTGGTACTTTTGAATCAACCTCATTATTGTAAACTAGCCAAAGATTTTATTGCAGTTGGCTTTATCAGTACTATTGTTCCTTCAACACACTTTTCCATTACTCAGTAGCCCTCTTGGCTTATGATCTGTACCTTCCTGATGGCCAAACGCCAATCTCTGGTTCGTTTACCCAGGAGTGAAGGCCAATCAATCATACAGAGTCGAGGAAAGGGGAAATTTGTCACTTTACGTTTGATCAGAAGCAAGAGGGCTTCCTCTGCTGAATTTAGCAACAGCAAAAGCAAACGAGAAAGAGGAACACTGAGTAAGGCCTGCATTCTACTTTTATATCCTCAGCTGAAAGAGATCAAAAGCAGAAGTTCAATCATTGGTTATAAATTTATTCCTCATTTTCTAGATTGCACATGCAACTATGTGTGTTTATCAGGTTTTTCTTAGCATAAGCTAGTTTTTAGCTTGCAAATAATTATCTCCAGACTTTTATCTAGATGCTCCCCCCACCCCCAACCCAAGCCTAATATCACTCTGCCTTCCTTTGTTCCAGCAACAGGTTTCTTGCAACAAGCTTCTATGTACTTTCCTAACCACATCTCGTAAATCTAGCTATAGTTTATATGTAGGGTCTGTTTTTAGGGTTCCTTATCAAGTGAGTAGATTTTGTTATGGTCTAGATAAGCTGCTTGTATCTTCCTGTTCTGAGTTTCTACGCAAATAAGACAAAAAATAAACTGAAAAGAATATGTTCCTTTTTGAATGAAGTGCTTCTGAGTTTGGAATTTAGGATTTTGGGATCTCATTCCCCCCTTTTTTCAATAAAATTGAATGAGAGTGATTAAAATGTAAAGAAGAATGCTTTAGCTGAGTCACATCAGTCAAGAAAACAGTTGGCGAAGCCTAATGATTCAATCTATGAGTCTGTTACACAAGATTCTCGAAAGTGTCTTTTTGGCTATTCTATTTTAATTCACTCAATAATATAATTCTCTGCAGATGATGGTAGCAAAGCTGATAAAAAGAATGATAAAAATGGCATATGGATATTGTAGGGATGTATATACAAATCACACATGTACTTTTTTTTTCTTTGTTTTAGATTATCCTTGCTCTGGCATGCTAGGTATGGTATCTGGACTCATCGCTGACTCTCAGATTACAGCATCAAATGAATTGGATCGGAATTGGGTGCCAGAAAACGTCCGTCTTATAACAAGCCGTATAGGATGGGCATTGCCACCCCCAGATGGTCATACATACACAAAAGAATGGCTTCAAATAGACCTTGGTGAAGAAAAGATAGTTCGGGGCATAATAGTCCAGGGAGGTAAACACAGAGAAAACAAGGTCTTCATGAGAAAATTTAAAATTGAATATAGCTACAATGGTTCAGACTGGAAATGGATTATGGATGCCAGTAAAAAGAAAGCCAAGGTAAATTTTTAATCATGCATGGTGAAGAGCACAGTAGGAACTATTTACCACCAGGATATATGATCTGCATGCTGAAGGCGGATTTTTGGTATGTCCAAATAAAAATAGCCAGTGGAACTCTAGGCCCCTGTCTAAAATGCTACAGAACTGCTGCAGCTAATGTAGAAAATAATGTTTAAATGAAAAGTCTAATGAAGCTTCTATCCATGAACTAACAGTGACCTCGCTGTTGCCCTTCATTTAAGCTAATCAGAAGAATGGTTAATTCAAATGCTTTTATCTTAACTACACAAAGATAAAGCCTCTATTGAATCAAGCTTAATTTTTGGCATCTACAAGGATGTGTTTAAATATGTTCTTAGTCCTATTGTAGATATAGTTAGCCACTGCCACCTTGAAGAGTTTTGTTGTTCTTTTTATATTTCGTAGTGTACTCTGTAGCACTAAGCCATTTGGTGGTCTCCTGTCCAAGTATTAACTCTCTGATCCTGATTAACTATCATACCCTTTGTCAATGTGAAATGTATAGCTCTCTAGTGGACTACAGTTGAAAGTACAGCTGTTTATTTAATGGCATTTGAATTTACAATGGCCTTGGAAAAAGTGGTTTATGACTGTCCTTGAAATTATGGCCATCTCACCATTCCTGCAACCATGTGATTACAATTCAAGCACTTGGCAACCTGCTCTCATTTACAGTTGCAGCATTGTGTGGTTATATGACTGTCTTTGCTATCTTTCTAGTTGAATTCCGATAAGCAAGTTAATTAGGGAATCCAGATTCACTTAATGACAGTATGATTCACTTAACAACCATGGTAAAAATGATTGTAAAATTGATCATGTGATAACTCAATGGCCGCATTGCTTAACAACAATTCTGCTCCCAATTGTTGTAAATTCAGGACTGTCTGTTCTATCGGTGCATGCAAAATATCCCATGTTTAATCTCTTTGTTCTCATATGAAGCTAGACTATATCACTAGTATTAGGCACAATATAAAGCAGTTTGCTAGAACTTCAGCCTGTCCCAAAATTGTATCCACTTCTTAACTTATATAGGAAGAAAGGCAACCACAGATCTTACGTGCCTAAGCAGGGGGTTGGACTTGATGACCTCCAAGTCCCTTCCAACATTATCATCATCATCATCATCATCATCATCACCATCACCATCATTATCTATTTTCAAATGGCCTTGAATCTGAAAATAAAGGGCTCATCATAAAGTGTAAAAAAATAAATAGCTCCAGCAATGGGATCTCACATTGTTGTTGTTGTTTTAAACAAATTTTATTGGTTTTTTAATTTCTTAAAACAAAGTATTCAGGACACAGAGTGGTGCTGGGATAATCAAAGATCCTAGAACAAAACATATATACATAGTACAATCAATATATCAAATATTCCCTCTCTTTTTCCCTCAGATAGCATAGTATATTTAAAATATCCAATTCTAGCTTAAATTTATTCAATCTGAACCTGTTTTTAAGCTTTATAAATTTACAATACCGTAATCAAATTAACTTTAAATAAAGACATTTTCAATTCAGATATCCCTTCCAAGTATGATCTACTTTTTTAATTTTATCAAAATCTTATTTATTTCTTCTTCCACTAATCTCCCCTATTTAAAGTAAAATATTAATCTATCTTATACCTATCTAATTCATCAATTAATCAATCTCTCTAAGCTAACAAGATAATATCAGACCTTAAATCATTTCAATCCATTAAACAGAATTCAAATCTCATCCAGTTAATTATCATAACTGATAACATCCATATCATCAAAGAATCACATCATCTTATTAAATTTCAATTAATTAATAATTCAATTCAAATCTAAAACATCTCATCAATTTTCTTCATTCCATTACATAATAATTTTCATACAAATGAACCTGTCATTCTAAAAAAAACATTCTTAATATTCTAGATTACCTTTAATCCATTATATAAAAAATATCTCATTTTTAAACAAAAATATTGATCTATCCTCGACATATCTAAATGTATCTATCTATCTATCTATTCTATACATGTCTAATCCATCAATTAATCAACCTCTTTAAGCTGACAGAATAATATCAGACCTTAAATCATTTCAATCCATTGAGCAGAATTCAAATTTCATCCAGTTAGTTGTCATAGCTAAACATCCATGTTATAAAACAAACAAGTCATCTTATTTAATTAACATTCAATGAATTATTAATTTAATCCAAATCTAAAACATCTCTTTACTTCAAACTCATAATCTTAATCCTTACATCAGTCCATAGTTCTAGGTTGCCTTTAATCCAATATATGAAATTTTAAATTTCATTTTTCAATCTTATTCTAGCTTTCCTCTTATGCCAGACAGGTTTCCATAGCAAAGCTTCCCTTCCAGGTGATGAATCTCTTTTTGTTGCTTGTAGTGTCATTTGATTCCATGGAAACCACCTTGGTCTCTGCATTGGCCTTCTGTTTCTCTTGTCAATAAAGCCTCATTGCTTCAGTTCAAAACTCAGTTCAAAACTCAGTCTTTGCTTTCCCTGGTCTTGCTTATAGGGCAAGGTAAAATTCTCTTTATTCTCAGTTAAGTCCTCTTCTTGTATAATCTGTTTTGTAGAGTAGTCAAGTATAATCTGAGAGTCAGTTTTAAGGTTTAAAGTAGACATTCTGGCTCTTTTATGGTAGTACATATTTCTTCTTTAGCCTCATAGATCTTTTCCAGTATAAGTCTACAGTTTAAATGTGACTGAGACTTCTCCATTTTAGCAATAGTTGAAGAAAAATCCTTTTTTCTTTTTTCTTTTTTTTTCTTTTTTAGTAAAGGCTACAATTGAACATTGTCCACTCCCACAGATCACTCAGCTGGCTCAAATTATCTTTTCTCTTGATAAATAGTTTGAAGGCCAAAACCATCTCATCTCCAAATAGTCAACAATTCCAATATTAACTTTTGACCAGTAGATGTCCTCAGTAAGCTAAAAAGACTTCTTCAAACGCCATTTTTTCTCTTTTTTCTATTTTTTAAAGGAAGAATGGAAAAAGAAATACTCTACCAATATAATACCGCTCCAAAAAGAAAAGAAAAACAAAAAATAGTTTTTTCTGTACCTCAGCATGAATAGAGATAAAATATAGTCTTTTAAAAAGTTTTAATCTGTCCTTTTATAAAATGCCTTTGTTCCCACACATACAAAAGCCGCTTTTTTCAGATGGGGAAATAATTCTACCGAAGCTTTTGCAGGCAAAGACAACATAGGGTGAAGAGAGGAACAAAAGGGGTCTCACCCGAATCATCCGTAGTGGGTCTGTTACGCTTAGCTGTCAGTGTGACTTTCGGCTGGTGCAGCAGGGTGGTCGCCATCTTGCAGGCCGATCTTTACTCCATCAGCCCTAAGGAGATAGCTGGAAACACGGGGGAAGCTGCCACCCTCCCCTATCTACCAGCAAGCCTCCTCCTCAGTGATCACCCCTCCAGGGCGACTTTCGACCCCCTAGGAGGTCTACCGGCGAAGGAAACTCCAGACGGCGCGGAGATGAGTCTCTAGGCATGACCGGCGTCGCCACGTTCCAGAACCGGAAGTCTCACATTGTTTTTTATTAGAAATGCACATTTTCTTGACATAGCCTTCTAAATAAAGTAGAAAATAAATAATAGCATTATGTTTTTGCTGTGACATACCTTGGGCTACTTAGTCTTCTGGTATTAAATTCAGAGCATTTGTTCTTACTGTCAAAATTAGCAGTCCTGGCAAAATGAATGCTGGCAGACATTTCCATTCAGAGTGTTAAATTCTTAGAGAAGTGAACTTTCAAAACCAGTAGTTTTTTTTTAAAGTTCTATAACATGCATAATCCTAGTAAATATTCAGAATATTTAAAATTGTTCAGTCTGTGGGGAAATTGAATAAAATCCTGAGATATTAGAAAGCTAGGAGAATTTAAAACAGGACTTAGGCAATTTTTAAAATATTAATTAAGCTTTGCTATATGTAATGCTGACTACATTGATTAAAAGAATAAATTAAAAGCAAATCTCTTTCTTGAAATGAAATGTAATTTACTAAATACATTCTTAGATTGAAGCGTTATATGATAGATTTCTACTTATTCATATTACTGCAGTAATCAGCTGTACTGCTATATTTATTTAATGGTTTTACCTCTTTTTTTGTACAATACATTCAAAACCATCATCAGATAACCAAACATTATTCATTGTTATTTTTTATTATCTGAACAATAATTAAGAATGGATTCCATAGTTACAAGAATGGGACCTTACATTATAAATAGCCTTCTTTTTTAGAGAATGTATGTATTTCTTTTTATCCATATTCCTTTTGTTATCAAAACTCAAGGTAACATACAGAGAACTCCTTTCTCTAATTTTATTTCACAATTGTCCACCTGTGGGTTAGGTTGGACTAACTGGTTCAAAACCATCCTTCCAGAAGGAATAATCTTGAGGACAAGAGGGAGATCCAATACCAAGATAATAGCCAAATAAAAGAAATCTGAGCCAGAACAATGATCTGAGAATTGGAGTGGATTTTAAAGCATAAAACTTTTCTGGAAAGAAATGAAGGATGAAGCCATACTGTGGTACCTCATCCTTTTCAGCTATGATAACATAACTACAGATATTGGGAGAGGTGTCTACAGTAATTGAAAAATCATCAACATGATATAATTCACTATCATGTCTTGCAGGAAGTTTTAAATATAGGAAGAAAGGTAGCTTTGCATCTAGAAAGCTTTTCTTCATAGCAACTCTGCATATAACAGAACCTTAAAAATAGCAGGAACACTAACAAAGTTTTCCGCTTTTTGAGGAGTGGGATTGAGGGAACATATGCAATTGTCATTGTGATTGATTTTTTTTTACTTTCCTACAATATTGACCAGTAGATAGAGTGTTTCTTAGCTTAATTTTTGTTCCTTGTTCTCAGCTTTTTGATGTTGCAGAAATAAATATGATTTAAAAGCTAGATTAGTTGGTAATTACCTTATTAAAGTATTATCTGATTTATAGAGTGTGTTGGAGATGTTTTCAAAGGTCTTCTGAAAAACTGATAGTGAACACTGGGACCCAACTATCAAACATCATACTCATCTAAGAAACTGTATGAATTCTTTGTTTCCTGATCTGGTACAAAGACACATAGCAGTAAGAGCACACACAGTTGCTTTCTGTCATTTCAGCCAGAAGCACACAATGAGAACTACAGTGAAAGCAATAATTTATGTATAATTATGATCTTGATGCATTCCAGAGCTTCTTTTCTCTAGAGTAGCTTCTACCACACAAAAAGCAAGTGCTGTTAAATTTCAAAAGGAGACAGGCTCATCCAGAATGCTTCAAAGAATATTAAACCCTATTCTGTTGCTTCTGTCCTTTCTCCTGCTTAATTATATTTCCCACAATTGGAGACAACCTTCTGCATTGTAATGTCTGTGGCCAAATGGTGAATGGAAAGAGATCTTTGAGCTGCATGTTGAATTCCTAAGTAAATATTTCATCAATAGAGACCCCAGTGAAGTTTGTTCTACTCCTATAATAAAAATAGTGCTTAATCTTTACAGTCTTTATGATACTTAATATATTTATTTAGGATCAACTGGGTGGAAATTATAAGAATTTCAGTCCCACACATCTGATATCTGAAGGGTACCTAAGGGAGCATTAAATTTCTATGAATTCTATGCCCATGTGTCAGTACACTGCTCAGAAATCTTTTATAGAAAAGTGGTCATTATTATATTACATTATATTATATTATTATATTATATTATATTATGTAAGGATTATTGTTACAAAAATGTAACAATACACTATAAATATCCTTCCTTTTTATAGAATGTGTTTGTTTATTTATGTATGTATTTACTTTTATTCATATCATTCCTTTTGTTAGGATCTTAAGTAGCATACTTGTTTTCTTCACCAGTATTGACCTTGCGATAGAGTAGGCTGACTGGTTCATAGTCATACAATGTAAAGAATTACCTTGTCGAACTAGAAGAAGAGCCACTACCAAGACAATGGCCAAATAAAAAAAAATTGAGTCTCAGCCAAGAATTGTAATCTGAAAAAGCACCTCAGACAAAATCCTCCCTAATTCTCATGAAGATAAAGTGAGACAGTGGGAAAGCACATTCAGAGTTGCAAGATTCTGCTGCTGTAATCTTGGAACCAAAGTAGTTTTAGCTTGCATGACTTTGATTTCCCAATCTGGTCTATCTAGTCTAATTTACCTGTATCCAGTGAGCTTCTGAGGGTGAGGTAAACTTATATCTCCCTAGTCTTTGTCTAAAATCTTCATCATTACAGCACACTTTTCTCATGAGACTTTTACAATATTTGAAATTTAAATTTTACTATAAAATAACTCATGGTGATCACTTTTTATGTATAAATAGTTATAACCTTTGAATTCTCTTCCATTAGATGTATTTTCTAAATGCTCTCAATATACCAAGTGCTTCTCTTTTTAGATTTGAGCAGGAGATCCATATCCTTGATCACAATTGGATTTATTTTTGTATAAATATGCTTAGGATGATGTTACCTAATTCAAAAGCATATATCCTGTATGCATAGAGTTTGTAAATAGAACATCTATACATATGTGGTTATAAAGTATATGATTTATATAACATCAGGCGTAGAATGCTGAAGAGATAAATAAATACACCATACCTTCAAACACATTTTGGGAATTTTTGCATCCTTGAAATCAAGATAGGCTTAATGAAGAATACAATCATTAATGAATGTATTCCTCACATTTAAAGAAAGAGAAATAGATAAGGAAAAGATGGGTCACCAAATCAATACTAAGGAATTTTTAGATAACAAATAATCTAAATCCAGGCCATAAATCAAGAGCCAAGAATGCAATGCTATATATGAATAGGGTTGATCTAAATATTTGTGCAAATGAAATTTTTAAATTTCAACTTCTGAGACATTCTTTTGAAGCCCAAGTAACTGGCCTCTTCAATTTATACATCATTTTGATTCGCAAGAAGGATTTTCCTTCCAAAGAAAAATTTATGTACTTAATTAACACTCTACTGGAAGTCTTGGCTTAAATGATCAGAAGTCTTTATCATCATAAGTTGAGGCCTTTATGTGATCAGAACTAAATTCCCAGTCATTTTTGCAGGAGTCATTAAGTGAACACTGCAGATATTAAGCAAGCACTATAGTTGTTAAGTGAATGGGTTTTTTGCCTCAAAATAAAATGCAAAAATCACTGCCATTCATGATCACACTGATCCACCCAATATCCAGTCATGTGACCACCGGAGGGGCCAGCATGTACATTTATGACAGCAAGGGAGCACTTTATGGGCTGTAAAGCACCCATTCTGTGGCTGTCATAACTTTGAGTCATCATAAAATGTCTGCTCATAAGTTAAAGACTATCTATGATGAAGAAGCTAGTCAAGAAAGAGAACAGAATTATAAAATAAATCTTAATTTAGCATATAAAGTATATATATATATTGGGTGAAGATTCTCTATACTTTGGCTACTATCAAAAACAGTCTACATTTAGTTGAAGTGTTCCTGCCAATATCCCTGACACAAAGCAGTTTTCCCTTGGAATCATTTCTCAGTGGTTTCCATAGAGCTAACATGAAAACGAAATCAAGCTTGAGTTGAAGCAAAGCTATTAAGAGGTCAGAAGTACGAATCAAGATGAATATGGTTGATTTCCATGTTATGGCATTTTCACAAAAATCACTTGAATAATGTAGTAATTTTATTCTGATCTTTTCAGTGACAGCTTGAACAAAATATATTTTGGGCTAGTTCAAAAATTCTTTATTATGCATCATTATCTTCTATTGTAGGAAAAGTTAAGAATTGACCACATGATTGGCTTTAACTAGATCTGCTTCCAGGTGTAGGTTTACACTTAATATTAAGAAGTCTGGGCTTCAAAATAATTAAATTCTGGTTGAGATTGTGTTATTAATACAATGAAAACTAATAAGGTCCAAATCAAATATTTCTATAGTTGACTGTTTTCCAAGAAATCTCACAAACACTGTATCTGTAGCAAATTACAATAATTTATCATTCTTAGACATAGACATCTGTCCTCTTTCAGCAGCTATAGTTTCTAAAGTTTAATTTGCATACTTGCAATATAACTGTAAGCATCAGGGTAAAATTTTTCTCTTGAAATTTTCCATTGTAACTACATGAATGGTGACTGACATTTAGAAAAAATCTTTCCCTGAAGATATCCATGTAAATTCCTAATATAAGCTTCATTTAAAGATATCCTGTTAAAACATTTGACTTCCCTACTAGTCCTAATGGATAGATTTCTGGAAAACAAGACATGCAATTTCTTAGAGAGTCTTCAACTATCTTTTTTTTTTTTCATTGTCCAAAGAAATGAGCCTCTTTCATAAAATAATCAGAACTATGATTACTGATCAGTTGTTAAGCAAATTAAAAAAAACCTGCCAACTAGCTAAAAATAAACCAATTTGTGATTGTTAAGCAGCACAATTTTGTATGTATACTCTACAGATTTTTGAAGGCAACACCAACTATGATACTCCTGAACTTCGCACTTTTGACCCCTTGACAACCAGATTCATCCGTGTTTATCCAGAAAGAGCCACCCATGCTGGATTGGGACTAAGGTTGGAACTGCTAGGCTGTGAAATTGAAGGTAATTGCACAATCCCTGATAAATCTGTTTCATTGATTACTTTCCTATGGTACTGGTCTATGGAACCTCTATTAGCTTTTAATATTTAGTGTGATTGTTATCATGCTTCTTCTATCTTCAACTAGCACATTAGAATGTTTGTTTGATGCTAGCAAAATTCAACAAATTGTCCAGCAATATATGTGAAGTCCTCCTCCTCCTTCAAAATGAAAAATGGAGACATCGTTTCAATATGATTAGTCTCTTTAATTGTATCTTCCTATATATTTAAATTAAAAGTTTTCTTAAAAACAGAGCCTTTGGTCAGCCACACAATTAATACATTTTATTGTATCCATGGATTAGAGATATGCAGACTTTCCCTGCAAAACAAAATGAAGTGAAAATTTTGGGACCAAAATTTTCTAAAATATATGTGAAGATGGGGACTTTTGAAAGATGGAGCTAATATCCCTTCAAAAAAAACCCCTTCCCTTGCATAAACCTGAGTAGATTTGATTCATATATTTAATCAAAATGAAGAACGTTGAGATTAGCCATTCTCAATGAGTTGCTGACTTTCATTAAGAAAAATGAGCACTATTGTTCATCATATCTAGCTTTAGATTTCTAAAGGCTCATGTAGGGAGATAATCATTCTTGTTCTTATAACTCATTTGATTCATGTACAAATCAGTTTCTCCCTTGAAGATCCTGCTCCTGCAATGGTTTCCACATCCATTTAATTGGCAGTACATCATTTTGATGAGGAACACAAAAAAAACCTCAAACCAACAAAATTTCAGACAAATGAAATCCTCATTAAACTAACAGAAAATGTGGCTTCATGTGGAAAGACATAACATGAGCTTCCTCTCCAGGTTTTCTCGTTGTTTTTATTGTCTGAATCCGTAGATACTGACGTAACTTTGAAATCTGTCCAGATAACTTGTATTAATTACAATTTGTTTTAAAGTGGTAATATATCAATAAGGATCAGTAACAGTGACTTTGGATTTGATTTGCGTCATCTGCTACTGGTGGAGTTTTGACCAAGTATGGATCTTGAAATAACATTACATAGTTGATAGAATCATATAGAGTAGGAATAAACTTTATTTTTTCTTCTATGTATGAGACTGTGAGAAACAAAAGCATTTGTTAGGGTTTAATTTCACAAAAGAAATTATCCACCTTCCTCATCCTATTTCCTATCCTTTGCCCTCCTATAAATAGGGTAAGAGTTGTCCAAGCTAAAATTTGGTTTTAGTTATTAATTTTTTAAAAGTAATTTTAAATTATTATTCTTTTATTTATTCAAAAGAATTATTCTTTGAAATAATTCTTAGTATTTTCACCTCAAAATTTCCCCAATCCTATACTAGTACTGGGGCTGTGATTCTCATTATTCCCAGGTAATGTGTATGCATCCTAATATATGAAAAAGCCCTGTCCTTGAGTCTATCTTAGCTGAATTAAGCTGGGTTTTTTGTTTCAGTCCCTACTTCAGTCCCAACCACTGCTGATACCATTCCTGTAGATGAGTGTGATGATGACCAAGCCAACTGCTACAGTGGAACAGGTGATGACTTCCATTTGACAGGTGCAGAAACCATCCACATTCCATTGCAACTCTGTTTTCATTCAAATCATTTTCCCGATGTCATGTTTATTTTATCTTTCTTACATACTAGAAAAATTATGACATATTCATACAAAATCTGCAATAAGATGTTGAATTTAATATTCATACCTTAAATATACTTGCTTTAATATATCTGTAAATTTGACCACTTTAAGAGAACATATATCTGCCTTTTAATTCTTTTCATTAATCATTTGATTTAAACCTGCTTGATTAAATATGTGACATTAATAAACTGAAAATAATTGCTGTGGACAAGTATATGTTGTTTATAGCTAGCCTTTAGATGAGATATCTTAGCTTTCATAGAATAATGTGAACAAATGTATACTTAAAATATGCCCAAACTGATTGGTACTATTAGTTGCAGAAAAAAAATATGAAACAGATATAACTAAACTCATGATACATAGTTAAGTTCAATATCTGGGGCCCATCTCTGAAACTAGGAAGGTTAGTAAAGATTGCAAGGAAGTGATGCTATAGGTTTAGTTATGAATGAAAAGAATAAAATGTATGTTAGAAACTATTATTTCATGTAATCTTAGGTTGTGGTGGATACCAATGAATATTGATAATGGAAGAATCATGATAGATTTGGGAGAAAATTATGCAACAATATAAAAATAAGAGCCGGGGGAAAACAATTCTGTTAGACAACTTGAACAGTTTAATAAGAACAAGATAAGAAAACACAAAATACAAAATAAACAATCAGGCTATTTGGAAACCAAGAATAAATTAAAATGTGACTATGTGATAAATATCTGCTTACAAAAAATTCTTTGTTTCAAATGCATGGTTTAAGTATAAGTCTATAAGTCATACAATTTTAGAATTGTAAGCTGTCCAGAGTTACTTGGTTGAGGTGGGCAGCTATAGTAATTGAATGAATGAATGAATGAATGTGGTCAAGGAACAAACATAGATCTAAAAAGAATGAATGAATGAAATATGAATATGGCTGTTAAAGAAATGATATCATGAAAGAGGCTGTGGATGAGGAGAGAAGTGCTTATAACTCCTGCAAAAATGATGAGAAAAATAAATTGTACAAAGTATGCAGAGAAGAAAAGAGTTGCAAAAATGTAGACAAAGAGTAAGGACATATGAATATTAGACAAAAGCAGAGAAAATTCATAGTATGGAAATAATGCTGCAAGTGGAGCATTATTGTATGAGCTAAAGAGACCTAACAGAGTGATCAGATTAAAATAAATTATGGAATACGAAATAGTAATTTGTCAAAGAGTAGAAATGAAATGAATGATAAAATGTTAATGTCCAACAAAAACAAAGACAATTTTAGGCTACACCCATCCATTGTACTTAGAGATGTTTTGAAGATTCTAAAAAAAGATGATGATGATGACAGTGTAACTAATAAATGTTAATATGTAATGCTATGTGAAAAGTGCAGCTTTATTGTATATTGCAGTGAGGAATATGGTATCTGAAAATTAATGTATCCACGACCAAGGTTGATGTTTTTGACAGGGAAATCAAGTGAACATTTACAAGTTTTACATAAATAGCTTGAGAAACTACAGAAATATTCTAATATTTAGCAGATAAAGATGAAAAATGAGGATGAAAAAAGAAACATAAAAAAATGTATGCATAAGTGGGTAATTTTGTGCCATTTTATTTTGTTGGAGTTGATTACACAAGAACAATGGATTAGTATTCAATTGTAAAGTAAATGTTAACTAATTGCAGTACAACTTTAGCCCTAATGAAAATCCTGCAATTTATTGTTTAAAACACAATGTATAAATAAGAAAAGAGAAAGAGATATTTTCCTCCCCCTGAAACAACCTTTTAATACAGATGTATGCTAATCACTTGTAATTTAACTGTCTTAGCTGGATTGGTAAATAGGCTAATGCAATTGGCTAAAATCCAGTTTATTTATAACCTGGGGTAGTTTTCTTCTAAATTCCATTTAGGAAATTCATTACAATTGAAGCAGAGAAGGAGGGGGTACTACTTTTTCCTTTTCATTAATATTTTGCCTAAACTGGAACTCAGTGATAGTCTGTTCTTCCTACTTCAGAGATGCATTTAAGTCTGTATAGTACATCTAAATATTAGCAAATTAAAAGAAGCCACAAAATATTAGCAAATTAAAAGAAGCCACAAAAATCAGAAAGCCAGAATGGTGTCTGTTTCTTATATAAGCTACATTTGGTTAGCTGATGAAGCTGTTTGGAATTTTCTTATCTCCTAGAGCTTTATATTTGGTTTTTTAGATAAGTGACTTCATTTTCATCCTGATGAGTTATTGTCCAGTTATAATTAATAAAATAATATGTAGCTGGAAAGGTTAATATTTATTTCTTCTTACATGATAGTGCAGCTTCCAACATCACTAATTGCTTGGGGTAGGTTTTATCTTCTCTTGTAATATATGATTCATTGAGGGCATAGATAGCCCAAATCAAATTAATTCTTATAAAGCATCACACATCAATGGTGCTTGGTTTCCCTCTCTATCTCACCCAAAATTTTATGGAAGCAATTACAGTTTTTTAGGTAGTTTGAACTACTTTTTTAAAGTCATCAAAGTTAAGCAAGCTCTCAACATCAGTTCCATAACAAGGATATTACAGTATTTTCCCCAAAAATATTCCATAAGAGAATATATTACGTGAAAGAATTGTGTCTGTCACCTTAACGTTTTCTCTTCAACACAAAGACAAAGGAATGGGATTAGAAAGACCTCTTTAAAGGACCAATCAAAATCAAACTCACAGTCTTTCAAACTTTTCCTGTGCCAATTGTTCTTGCATAGGACTCTTACCTCATTATTAGCAGATTCTGCAGTGAAAGAATAATAATAGAATTTAGCTAACAATTTTAAATTTAATTTGTGGACAAAATGAAAAAAGTTGTGATATACTCAAGATAAAGTATTTTTCAAATAAAGTGTCTCTTGAAAAAATAACTTAGATGATTCAATTTGCATGAACACTTATAAATAAGATGATAAATCGATGGATTTTGACTTGTGTGTGTGTGTGTGTGTGTGGGTGTGTGTGCCCGCGTGCGTGTGTGTGGGTGTGTGTGTACATGCATATTTTTTTTTCAGGGAGTACCACAGCTACGATTACAGAAAAACCAGTACCAACTGATACTACAGTTCAGCCAGGTAGGCTATGAAAATAATTGTCTCTGGATACTGCATTTCTGAATTATGTGTTGTGTTAACAACAATTTAAATGACTTGCAGGATCTTCCAACTTACCCTCCTTCGAAGTGTTTGAAGGATAATGGAGCATCTGAATTCTAAGCTCGGTTCAATAGATGCTTCCCTTCTTTCATCCAAATGTCTATACAGTAAAGAATGAGTGTTTATTTATGCCAAGTTGTGACAATACCATGAAAATATTCAGCAGCTGAACTGCACACTGTACTTCCAGGGAAAAACATGATATCTTGTCTATGATACATTATGTGTTTGCAAACCAAAGGGAGAAAAGTCATCGAAAACAAGAGTAAGGTTCAAACTATTTATATCATCCACTTTCCTGGGAAAACTACATCCAAATAATGTTGGCCAGGTTTTTTTCCTCCCATCACACAGTTGGCAGTTTTACAATATTCTTTCCTAGGTAGACTTCTTTGAAAGATTTTATGCAAATTGCTTAAACTTGAGATAAAAAAAAAAGTTATTACTGGCAGCTGGTCCTTTCTCCTCAATCAATACAATAGCTAATAGTGCTTGGAAAAGCTCTTAATTTGCAGTTTCACTGGGCTATTTTATTATCCTGCATGGAGAAAAAGGGAGAGACAAAAAATCCCCCCCCCCTTCAAATTCTCTAAGTCTGATCAGCAGTTTTAAATGCTTTGTGTTAATAATTGTAAAAAGAGGGGGAAAGGTCACTCCTCCTGTTACTCCCATTTCCTTTATTAAACGACAATCAGGCACAGCCTCAGAAGTAATTTCACAGGCTATGTGTCTTTGGATGTGTTTCTGCCATGCTGAAGCTTTGCTATGAGCAAAAAAAAAAAGTATCAATAATGAAAAAACTTCCATAAAAGACAACAGTGTGACAAAAAGCAATCAGACTAAAGTAATTAATTCCAAGATTTTGCCTCTTAACCTCTGAATTTCCTTATCATAAAATGCTTTCCATGTTTTAAATTAATTTTTCTTCCTCCAAATTTATTTAATCAGCATATGCTATTGTGAGCAGCATCCTGTTTTTTAATCTCTTCAGAGTGTTAAAAAAAAGCTTTGTGGAAACATTTCTTTGAGGGCTATTTTTTTTTCTTGACAATAATCTTGCTTGCTTAGATTCAGTATTGTTTTATTTCTTTGTATCTTGAAGCCTTGTCTATGGAGCTGATCCAGGTCGTGGTTTTTAAAAGGCCACTGGGCTTTGTTTTTCTCTGAAGTCGTTTCACATCTCATCTTTAGAAGAACTGAAGAAGCTTCTTGGATGAGAAGCAAAGTATCTTCAGAGAAAAACAAAGTCCACTTGCCTTTTGAAAAAGCACCTCTGGGACATCTTGAAGGCTAATATAGTGAAACTTATAATACTATTGGATCATATTTTTATTGATTTCTCATTTGAATATATGGATTTTTTTCACATTTCTTAGACAAAAAAAATTGTATTTCTTTAAAAATGATCCTATTTTTGTGCAATGTCTGAGCAATTTTAGGAAAATAGAAATAGGGCTGTAAAGCTAATCTAACTCTTAATCTAATTATGATAGATGTAAAAAAAACCATGCTGACCATTCTGGCTGCCAAAACTTAGATTCCTGCATCTATTGTCAGCCTTTCAATTATGTCTTACTCTTCATCATTCTATGGATAAGCATTCTCCATACCCCTCGGTTTCACACCACCTCCTTCAGATCTGCCATGATTATCCCGGTGTCATTTTTTATAGTGTCCAGCCAAAAAGTACTGGGCCGGCCCTTCTCTTTTTTCCACTGATCATTCACAGCATGACTGATTTTTCGAGTGAACAAGCTCATATGACATGACCAAACTATGATAGCCATTGTTTGGCAAACTTGGCTCTGAGTGATATTTTTGGTAAGGCTTGGTCTAGGACTTCTTTTTGATTTTTGCAGTCCATTGGATGCATAGTAGTCATATGTAGCATCACAATTTGTAGGCATCCATCCTTTTCCTATCTGCCTTTTTTAGAGGTCAAGTTTTGCAGCCAGAAGTAGCAGTTGGAAAAATTATTGAGTTAACTAATCTTTATTTGGTTGGGAGGCTGCTATTTTTACCCTTCCAGATGTTATTCATCCTGGGCATTGCAGTTCTTCCAAGCGCTATACACCTTCAGATTTCAGGGCTGCAGTCCCCACATTGGATGATTTTAGAACCCAGAAAGATGAATTTTGATGGTTTCATTGTCAGTTTGCACTCTGACCTGTGTGTTATCTGCAATCATCATAATTTTTTTGTAGATGTTAAGGTGCAATCCAAATTTTTCATTTTCATCTTTGACTCTCAGGATTAGCCATTTATTTTATTTTATTTTATTTTATTTATGAGACTTATATACCGCTTTAAGTGCAAGCACTCTCTAAGTGGTGTACACCAGTAAGCAATGTATATATATATATTTACATTGCTCCCAACAATCTGGGTCCTCATTTTACCTACCTCGGAAGGATGGAAGGCTGAGTCAACCTTGAGCCGGTGAGATTTGAACCGCTGACCTGCTGAACACAGTCAGCTAAAGTGGCCTGCAGTACTGCACTCTAACTGCTGCGCCACCTCGGCTCCATTCCAGATCTTCCTTGCTTTCCACGAGCACTGCATTCCTGCAATGTTTCCTGCATTACTGGGATAGAAAGTATGAATCCTAAAATAAGTTTAAAATAATTTAAAAAATAAAGTGGGGAAAATATCCAAAACACTTCTCCAATTCCTACCTTAAAAACACAAGAAATCAAAAAATCATGGCCTCACCAATACTATAATGTTAACTTTTTCATTGTGACTCACAGCCAATCACAAAATGTAACCCACAGCTATTACAGAAAAATCTCTCTGTATGCTTCCTTGTAATGATAGGCCATGGTAAAAATATCAAGATGATAGCCCAATCAAAGCTCCACCTGTATTTTTATGTGTATTACATTTTTAAAAAACCTAAAGACAGGACATAATGTCCTTCTTAAATTTTCTCACCAGTGTTTTGCAGACTACTTGTTTGTAGATATCACTAAGGTATTCTCTGACATCTTGTCCAACACAACATTCAGAAGCATTGGAACCTTTTCACCTTTGTATCTTCAAAGTCCAAAGTCACAGGGAATACTATGGCTTCTACAATTCTGATATTTGTAGGTTTAGACACACATCATGGCATTTGAATATTTTTTCCAAGGCCTTTGTGGCTACTGTATCAAGTACTAGTCAATGCCATATTCCTTGATTGTTTGTTCCTTTTACCATTGAGAGTTGATCTAAAAGAGAGTATTTATCACTTCAGTATCTTTATTGTCAGTTCTAAGGCTGGATGCTCTACTTGTTTTACCTAGTTTGGTCTTCTTTATATTTAATTTTAGCCCTATTTTTAATGCAATGAGTTCCTTGACTTTTATGAGACCTTCCAGATCCTCTGCATTTTTTTCACTATCAGACAAATGTCATAGCATAGCACAGGTTATGAATATTTTTTCCTCCAACTTTAAAACCACACTTATCGCCTTCCAGTCTATTATTGAATAAATAAAAGGAGACTATATAGTTTTGCTTTACTTCTTTGGCAAGAGCTGTGGTGGCCCAGTGGTTAGAATGCAGTACTGCAGGCTACTTCTGCTGACTGCCAGCTGCCAGCAGTTCAGCAGTTCGATATTCACCGGCTCAAGGTTGACTCAGCCTTCCATCCTTCCAAGGTGGGTAAAATGAGGACCCAGATTGTTGGGGGCAATATGCTGACTCTGTAAACTGCTTAGAGAGGGCTGTAAAGCACTGTGAAGTGGTATATAAATCTAAGAGCTATTGCTATTGCTATTGGCAACCTGGAGCCACTCTGTTTTGCCATGTACTATCTGTACCATGGTTCCCTGACAAGTTGCAGATGAGCATTTTGAGATGTTCTGGAATTCCCTTTTTTCCTAAGCACATTCCACAGCTTGACAAGACACACTCAGTAGAATATCTTTATGCAGTCAATGAAGCACATAAACCTCATTTTTGTATTATTTTACTTTCCCAATTCTCCAGCAATAATATCATGTGAAAATATCATCTGCATTGGATGATCCTAAGTATTATTTTCCATGGAAAATTAAGGGTATTGTACAATAGTTTGCACATTTTGTTAAATCTCATTTTGGAGGGTACTGTAGGCTTGCATTTTTGGAGAATGGGATTAAATTCATTCAATGGCTTGCATTTAGAAAGTTTGGAACATCATTACGCTTCAAACCGGTATTTCTCTACTTTGGCGGTTTGTCTGGATCTCCTCAGATTGGCTAGGAATTCTGGGAGTTGAAGTACACATGTCCTCAAGTTGCCAAGCCTGAAAAGCACAGCTTTAGACTATTGGAGCACAGTTGGATTAAAATGCTATGTGAATTTAGTTGATTAAGTAATTAAAGAAAAGTAAACTTGACATATGCCATTCTGATGCTTTGGCTTCCCCATCTTACTGCCACAGAATTCCCAATCAGTTTAATAGAATATGGCTTCCAAATCTGAACTGTAAAAATGTATACAACCAACATGTGGCAAAAGAGTTTGTTTTTTCCCCTATATCTCCTTACTGCCATCTAGTATTTATCTAGATTTTTCCAAGTCAGATCTTTACACTCACAAACTCTTTAAGACAATTGTTTCGCATTTCTTAATATACACTAGATCAGTCAATGTTCTCCATATTACTAAAAGTATTTCAGAAGTAGAGTTTGCAAAAGCACCTAGGCAATGCTGAAGAGCACATGCAAGCTGATAAATGGCTGCCATGTAGCTTGATTCCCTCCAAACAAAGGAAGTAATTCATGATCCATCCTTTTCAATGACTTTCCAGCAATTAAAAAACCTGTTAAAAATGAAATATATCACAGAGGTGACTATTTTGAATTTTCTCTATTCATGGTTAGACTTACTCTGGTGCTTGGTAGTGTGATGGTTCCATTGTTTCTCCACTACTTCAAAACTGGCTATGT